ATTTTTTCAATAGGTAATCATCAGTTAAATGTAGGAAAAAATACTTCTAAGAGTGTCCTAAAAAAAAGTTACACTTGTAAAAACTATAATATATATATAATCTTTTTGTGGCTTCTACAATAATAAGTTATGTCAAATGTTAAAAAATTCTGAAAATGTTCCATCTTATGGTTTATTTGTACATTAGCTTGTAAGAAAATCAATCGAAACACATTATTTTATGCTAACACTCGATATTCTACTAAAAATTCTTAAAATAAGTTTAAAAATATTATGTTGTTTATTCTCCAATACAAGTATACAACTTACTATTATACTAGATTTCAAGTTACGCTCAATGAACTTAAATTTGAAAATACTTCAACTTTCGAGGTATGTAAAACAGTGTATTGAGTATAAACGTCATTTGAGTTAGAAAAGCAATATATTCTTTCGGTATTGAGTATAGGCTCAACAGGAACAGCGTACGACGACAACAGTAGACTGGGTTGAAATTTCGTGATCCCAGTTTTAAAAATCTGTATAATCGTATATGCACGTGTAAAATAATAAAAAATGATTACATACTATAGATTTAAAAGTAATGTTTGTTTAGTTGGTAGTCTTTGTATCTGACATGTACACTAATTGATTTTATCTGACACGTCATACGCATGCGATTATACGGATTTCTACTGCACGCTATTCCTATTGTGTTAAATTTAGTCATCCAATCTCGTGGAAGGCTTAAAACAAATCGTTTCTATTCTATAGATTTTTTTTTTTGCTTAAGCCTCTTCACGTGTTGGCCATTGACTGATCATATAAAGAACAGTTTTGACTGATGTTATTTTATAAACAAATTATTAGTAAGTAGAAATATATGACATGTAAGCGTATTGTACTTTCGCAAGCTTTATTCCCGTTATAATATGTGATAATGATTGTATTAATTTTAAAACTTTTTTCCAACAAATAAGTACTTAATGAACCCAATTTTATTTCTAATTGAAAACAAATAATGACACATGGGACAATATCATTTTTATAACATTATTTATTCAAACAGTTTATGATTGTTTTAATGAATAAAAAAAAATTGTCGACATTCATTTTATTAACATGCCAACAAACTTTCTAATTGGACCTTTGGATTATTTGTTTAAGTTTGCAAATTCAAATTAATTCACTCAAATAAGTATTACAAAGGTCAACGATATATTTGGAAACATTCTCAAATAAAATAAAAATACCAATTTTGCATAAGTAACAAAATTTCTAAATTAATTAAATCACATATTTTATTTTGCTAATAAGGTCAATCGACTAATTTTCCAACACAATTTAAGTATATTTTTCTACATAATAATATTGTGCAGTATACACCATTTTAACATCATAAAATTATTGTTCAATTAACAAACAAGGTTTACTAGAACCAGCTGCTACACACTTTTGTAAACTAAAAATTCAAAACAAAATTACAAGTTTTAAATGAATATTTTAATTAATTATGCATATACAATTATTTCACATTTATCTGCCAACATTTATACCATTTGAATTACTTGATTTGCTATACATTATACACTGAGATTATTTTAATAGTTTTGACTCATAAATTCAAATTTTAAAAAATAATTAATTTTGGAAAATCCATGGGGCTTTAAGGTTTTTAGCATTTTATATATTGTTCTTAATCCTCTCTCGTTGACTTCCTATGTGCATTTTTTATTTTGAAATGAAAACACTTTTAATTTCGTAATTAAAATTAGAATACTCAACTAAAATTTTTTAAGTTTAAGATGTTAATTATTGAACGGAATAGTTCTTTCGTATAATAAAATCTATTAGGTACACGATTACTATTTAAAATTATTTATAGTTCAAATGAGCAGTGAAGTGAACGAATATTTTTGTATGGTTGATAGCTCCTATCTAGGTACTTTTTTGACACTTCACTGATTTAAACTTTATTAGTTCTTATTGATGATATAAAAAATGGAAAAAAAATGGTTGTCCAATTAAGAAACTTTGACATTCCATTGGATAGGTACAAAGTAATGCCGCTACAGTAAAACATTCTAACAATTCAATACATACCAGAAAGTAGCAGACTGACAACAATTCTTATTATATTTACTATAACTTATAAATGGTAAATGGCATATTATGCAATCTATAATTTAAACATTTGAAATATAAAATTGGGAAAATCCATTTCATGACACCGTAGTTTATTGCGTCACGATGATAATCAAAATTAATAAAATTTGAGTTTATACAAGCTATCGTTAATTGTGTAGGTGTGTGCAGTCTACTGTATTTTAAGAGTATCTCGTAATTGTTACCGAACAGATAGACCTCACATCTTCCTTCCTCACTATGCAATAGGTTTAAAGACGTTTTGAACGAACAGTGATGTAGTACATCTGGTTCCAAGCCATCAACTATATTGTGTACTTCCCATTAGCTGACTGTTCTGTGTTCTAGTTGAAGATACGAGATTACTGACAAATAAATTATTTGCCTCTCTTCATTCGCGACGACAACCCGGTTATTTGTTTCCCGGTGGATGGCGGGATCAAGTGCGAGTCCCTTACGGCTACGCAATCCGGAACTAAGATATCAACTACTCACCTGTTAAGCTATTTTATACATGTCATTTGTATTGTATTTTATTCTATGACGAATAAACGGGAGAAAACAAAAGGACGTACCTAAACCTACTGCGATTTCGGGTAACGGGGGCAGTGACGATAATATGATAGCCATCGTGGTATTATACTATTATAGGTACTCTAGGACCTAATCACTGCACAGAAGAAAAATGTTATATTCTCGTCTATTATATAAATATAATGTCAATATAAATATCATATTATATTGGATTCATCTAATGACTGAGATTCAAAAAATTATAAACACTGTCTTGAATGACATGTTTCTTCAAACTGTTTTGTCGTTCCATTCATTCAGTCACTGCACTGCAATAACTATTTTTAAAAAGATCACAACTTTACTTTGGTCCAAATGAAATCAAACAAACGAAATACGGGTGATACTAATATGTGCAACGACCGTATATATAAGGTAGGAGTACTGCATTAACAACAACAAGCCTTAGGTTAATGTATACACTTCCGTTTGAATAATTTTTCCACTTGACACAATATGCTGCTGTAATTAATTATTCCAATAAATTGTCAAATTAATTGTAATAATAATTCTGTGGTACGATTATAACATATTGACATAATATTATTAATATAATATCAATTTTTTTCCTATTATAGGTACCAGATAGTTCAGTATAAGGAACTTTTAAGCCTCCAAAAATAACCCTGAATATTAAAACATACAAAATGTACCAAAAATTAGAACCCAAAATTTGTGATTTAAATCACAATACAAACTTTATGAATCGACATCCTAAAATATTATGTAATTTTTATTTCACTTATCAAGTTCGTGGTGTGATATTTTGCCGTAGTAAAATCAAATTTTAATTTTATCACATGACAAACAATTTAGAAATCTAACAGTGCACCTTTGAAGTAGGTGTTTATGATTTTCTTATGATACTTTTAACATTGATCGGAAAATGTCAATACGGAATTAATTTACAAATATAAACATAAAACAAGTATAGATTTTAAATGTGAAGGCACACACACAAATTTTCATATTCTCAAAATATATAAAAAGTTATGATAACTGGCTAAGGCCTAAAGGATAGAAGGAGCAGGTTTCAATTCTATTATCATTTTAAATATTACTCGACTAAAGTGACACATTATATTATCGCTGTATAATGTAAGTGAAAACCACTTAGGAGCCCATTTCTTTCAAATTATATTATGTATCTCTCCAATTTCACTGGTAAATATTTGAAGAGACTATGAGGAATAAAGATTTTTCGTTCTCCTAACCATAAATCATTATGTATCTATCTAGCTCTTTAAGATAATATATTAAATAAGTAGAACGCTTGGGTGATTTTATTTTTTGATGTACTTTAAATGATTTTTTGTTTAGATTATATCATAGAAAAAATTCTGGAATACCCAAAACCAATAAGATAATATAGAAACTTACTTTTTTAATGTGGGTTATTTAAAACATTAATAATTAGTTTTTAAAAAGTTCACAAAAGGCCCTTTGATGATGGTCCATATATTATTCGGAAACTCGTTGAAAATTCTTTAGTTCCGAGCTGGAAAAAAATATGGTCTATTGTTTAAAAGTCAGTTGCAGAATATATTGATAATGTATGGCTATAATAAATTATTGCCAGAAAAAAAGATTTTATTGGGTAAGTATTTAATTTGGACGATTTTGGTGCAATAATATAAAGCAAAAAGCCTAGAGCTTAGAGTAGGTAGGTACGTCAAGAGTTGTATTGTTTTAAAAACATTAAATTAGCATTTAATACTTCGTTGTACATATCTATTATTTATTTATGAATACAATTAATGATATATTAAATTATCTACTAATTCATAGAGATATTTACTAATTTCTTAATCGTACAGTTAAACAAAAAATGTGTAAGCATTACGCGTCCAAATGATTAATAAATTATTATTATTATTATCATATGTTGTAACATTTGCTACTCCCAATACAACGTTGCACCACATAATCTGATTATCAGTATTTTAGACAGTGGAAGACGAATAAATTATTCATTTACCGTGTGGTGTTTTAATTTTGATATTATTATTGTATTTTATACTGTGGTTACTTTTTAAACAGCTAAATTTATTTTGCACCTACGCATTTTGGGACAATCTATATAGACAACTATATTATTAGTGGCTGTAATCAAATAATATTATGCAGCTTTGATATTTCACAGACATTTTACTTTGCTTTCTATATATACTTATTTTCTATTCCACTATTATCTCCGGTAACCCACACCTTGAAAAAAAAATTATAATCGTCTAAAATAAACCTAGAAGATAAGATATTGCAGTCAGCTGTCTTTTTGTAATACAAAATATTTGTTTTCACAGTCGAATAAATGGGGCAGCTCAAGAAAGGTACACGAAAGATCCACTGGACCGGACTGGTTCGAGACAAAAATGGCAAACGCGAAACTAGAGAAAAAAAGATCATCGAATTGTTTTTGGAGCTCATCATTCGTAGTGGACCCAACCACACACTTTCATTATAAGGTGAGTGATATTATTAAATTTATCTAGAAACCAACCCACTTCATCAATAATTACGACGGCCGACGATAATAAGCTTACCGATTCGATGGCCATGAAGAAGTCGTTCGATTCGAGTGAATTAATTCGGATCGTCTACTCGTATTATAACTATTTTGGAATATTTTAGGGAAGTTGTATCCTAAATTTCGTCAATATTTATCAAGAAAAATGTAAATATTTATTTATAGTTTATACGCTCAATTTTTATAATTCAGTAATGTATGAAAATGTAGGTATTCAGTAAAAAACAAATATCTCATACAAAATACAATGTACAACATATAGTAGCTGAAATTGAATCTTGAACGGTAAAAAAATTAAGAAAATGGAAGGTCGATTCGCTGTATGTAGGTGTCGATTATATCTCATCACTGAGAAGATTCGCTGAATGGATTTATTAAATTATGAATCAATGGATACGAAAAATGGTTCTTAACTTAAACTTTCTGTTATTATATGATGTATAATTTAATATCACTGTAAATAATTTTCATTATCATAAAGTGGGCTGAGCAAATTGTTGCCAAAAACAAAATGTATGTATTAATTATTAATAATTAATACATATATTAAACATTATAATAATTATAATATTTTTATTTCATAAAAACCAAATAACTACAATTAATATAACTAAAAATCGTTGCAGAATGTGCTGAAGTACCTATTTCGATATTTTTAAATCACTATACTACAAAACTTACAAGGAATTTCGTATTAATTAAATACATTTCAAACTGTTTGACCGAGTAAAACACTATTATTATTAACATTACCATAGATATAGTCCATTTGGGCAGGTAAAAATTATGGAGACCGATACTTTGAAAAACATGTACATAGGAGTGACAACGACCGCAGTACGTATGTGACCGCAGTGTATGGGATGGCTGCAGTTGAGTTTAATATATGCTAATTTAAAAGTAAAAAAGTTTGATCTAGTTTTGAGTCAATGTCTGGCAATGACAATGTACGTAATGGAAGTCACTAAATAATAATAAATAATACTTAATATCAAGGAAACTAGGAAAGACGAAAACATTTAATACTGGGGAGATTTTAAACCTAACAGTAAGGCACGTGCTTATATTTTATTCCTTAAAAATGTACAATTTATACACGAAGTAAAAAGATTTCCACTCATTGAATTTTATTATCATTATTAAGCTCTCTAAACGAATCATTAGAAGTCGAGCATTACAAAGTATTATAATATGAATTACGTGATTTATTTATATTTATTGTTAAAGACAAAATAACACACCAACACAGGGCATGAATTAAAATCTGGGGGAACTCGCTCCGCTATATAGTAGACATAGTGTATTTCGATTGTGATTAACCGTCTCGTTTTGTTAAAGACGTAGGTATGTGTTAAATTTAAATAATATATAAAAAAAAACGATTGTGAGTCAGTCTTTACTCTATATGGACATTTTATAATACCTAATATAAGAAGTTTATGTCTATATATTAGTAACACGGCAGAATGAACTATAATTTTTCCAATAACATCGAGTACATTACTTTTCTGTTATTACGAACCGAACAATAATGTGATTCGTGGTATAGTTAGCTTTACATTAGTCTAAAATATATGTTCAACGTTTCATTCTATATAATAAAAAATAACAAACGTAACTATATAATGGCACAAAGTTTCAAATTTCTACGAATAACATTTTGGAATTTCAACAAAATAACTAAAATCGTTTTTTATTTCGAATATTCATTTATATAAAAATGTTAAGTTCAAACGCTTATACAGTATATATATATATTAACTGTTTTGATATTCTTAAATTACTATACAAATTAAGTCCCTAAGGTTATTTCTTTTTGAATTGCAACAACAACGCAAAATCGATCTTGTAAAAAGCTGGTCGTGCGTTACTATTCCCAATTATTAAAATATTTCTAAAAATGTCCTTGTTTTAAACCCTCAATGTACCAACTAGATTTTAAATTTAAATATTTGCCCAAAATAACGCATAATTGTAAAACATTAAAACAAAACATTACATTCATTCCTTAAATCAGTCAAACATAAGAATTTTAGAAAAATATAGTATCAAATATATATTATTGGTTGTTTTTGTTTTACGACAAAATACTGATATTCGTAACATAGCTCTTCATATAATATTGTTATTGAGTAATTAGTAATTAGTAAGCTAATTCATTTTTCATTTTGATTTTCGTACCTACATATTAAACTATCAATCAACTACAATTTATTTTGTGATATTAAAATAACGTCATATCATAGCTACAATGGTTTTTTTTTATTAAAGTATCAAATAATAGAGTTTGCCAAGTGTTGAAAAGACTATGTACTTTTAAAAGCAATTTAAATAGCCTCCAATTTGATTTTTTTTTTTAATACGAAATAAAAACAATTTCGTTTTTATGTAGTTATATATTATTAGACCACATACTAATTTTAAAAAGTATCAAAATAATTTTTTCTTACGAAAAATATGTTAAACCTGTACTACAATAACTTCCCTTGTTTATTTATTTTCAATAAAAACGTAAGTCTTTGTTTCTGTCTGCATATTTTGCAGTTGCACAACTTGCATCAAATTTTATCGTTGTTCGTGGGCTACGTTTTATAATCTATTTATAACTGTAACATCTAACTAGGTAATTGGTATAAAAATAAGTGTCATTATTAATAAATGCCGTTATTACATAGGTACCTATTAAGTATGACACCTATCATTATGCATTGTACTCTAGGCATGGCACTAAGGGGGGCAAGAAGGACTCTAGCCCCTCTAGAAAACAGTTCAGCCCCTTCGCCATCTCCCCCACTGAAAAATATGTACGAAATAATAAAGTCATAAAACATTATTTTTAAAAGAGCTTCATCAAAGAATTTATGAAATATACTTTTAAAAAAATTTTAATTTATGTAAATACTTTCGTATTTTCGACAATTTGTATTTTAAGTTTTTGTCATTATAAAATCCGATATATTAATAATATTAATATTTTACACTGGCGTGAAACGTGGAGTATCAATATGTCAACACTTAACGCCCGACATACAGCCAATTTTTAAATAATATATAGAAAATAAAAAAGTAAGTAGCTTTTCACAAAAACCGAAGAATATTATTAACTTAAATTATTGTTTTTTGTATACATGTAATAATATTTTTAGTTAACTTAATAGTTTTAATATGTTTAATTAACACAATAATATTGTGTAAGAAGTTGGTATCCATACCTACTTAGTTTAGTACTTAGTTCACACATTACTAAATATACATTTGTCTAAATTAATACTTATTAATTAATTAAAAAATGATCTCTTAAAGTATCTATGTTTTAACGCATATCTATGAACTATTTTACCCTGCAAAATTCAACAAAAAATACAAAGTAGGTATTCAACACATACAATATTCAAATACTTATTTAAAAATGTATTGAATTAAAAATTTGAAGTTAAATAGTAGGTAGATAATCACAAGTTTTTATTTAAAAAAATATTGTTCCAACTGGTATTGGTGCAATTTTATACACTTTTGTAAACTATTTTAATATTTTAGGATTTTCAAACATTTACCATATGATGCATTAACAGATATTGTGTAAAATATCAATGTTTAGTTTAATTTATATATTTGTCAATAATAAAAACATCGAGGAATAAATTGAATTTATTATAAATTGCAATAATTAAACTGATGAAATAACATCTTCGGTCTGTTTATTGTGGATTAATCTACTAGAATTGTTTAATAATTTAATAATTTAATGAAATTTCAATAAAATATGTTTTGAAATTCGTAAATAAGAAAAAATCTTTTATTCATTTATTATTACCTTTATTGAGTACTAATCACTGGATGAAAATAAACAAACAAAAGTATCCCTTGCAAAGTATTCATTGCATTAAAATTGAGTCAAACAAATTCATCTGTTCCTTACTAAACATAATTACTTTAATTCAATTTATTTTTATGAAATGTAAGTAAAAGAAACATAATTATTCATTCACAATTTCTATGTAATATTAAAGTAATAAAGAAATTATCATTTTTATACATCATTATTAATATAGGTCTGTGATTAAACATTTTCTTACATAAGGTACATAAAAAATATTTGACATTATTCTTGAAACATTTTTATTTATTCAAAAGCTTGTTCATATTATCTGTTTAGAGCATAAAATATAAAAATGTGTGTACTATATAGCTAATAGCTAATAGCTATATTATGTTATTTTTGTTACGAAAATATTTATATTTTATTTAAATAACCTCAGTATTTGTTGGAAAAAAATCTTAGCCCATGTAAAAAAAATATTTGTCCCATTCCGCCCTCCCTCCCCTGGAAAAAAATTCAAGTGCCACACCTGCTTTGCGCATGTAATCTTCAATACAATAACTAACGAGCTGTATCGACTTCAATGTGACATACTTCAAGTTAAAATAAACATGATCACTACATCTAACACTTACAGATTTAGAAAAAAAAAATTAGAAATGCTTTGAAAGTATCATCTGTGTGAAATCACTCATCCGTCGTTTTTCTCTATCAACATAACATTAGCTGGTAAATACGCATAATAGTATTGCCTACATACTATATATTAGTATATAAACAATTAAACGAAGCGTTATGCCTTTTGATAAAATATTATAAAATATAAATTAAAAATTACAATTATCTGCGGTGGACAATGATATATTGTATAAATCGTGATACAGCGTGTATAAAATATACGCTATAAACTAAAGTAATGTATTATGTTAGACCATACCGGACAATAAACCATTATTGCGTTGACTCGGGAAGTATGTGTGAAAAGAAAAAATAGTGGAAACTGTTTCCTATATCATATTATGCTATACAATTTTCCCAAAACAACACTTGTGGACATTCAAATAAATATATTGTTATTTAAATATTATTCCCTAAAGGCGAGAAGTCATCTGATAAAT